AGCTGAGATCCGGCCACTGCACTCCAGCCTGGGCGACAGAGCAAGACTCCATCTCAAAAAAAAAAAAAAAAATGTGCCATCTTATTTATTTTTCTAGGCGCTGTCTGAGGCCTGTGGTCAGGAAATAACCACTAAGCAAATGCTGCCCATCGTATTAAAAATGGCAGGAGACCAAGTAGCAAATGTTCGCTTCAATGTGGCCAAATCTCTACAAAAAATTGGACCAATTCTAGATACCAAGTAAGATTTTAGTGTTTAGTCTTGTTTTAAAAGCGTATTTTAAATTTTACCTTATAATGGGGAGTAATTAGCTAAAATTAACTTCAGGGATTTTCACTTTGCCTAAGATCTGGATTTGCTTAAAGAAAATAATTTAGTAACTGTTTTTGAGGATGTCCACTATGACTTTTATATTTAAGCTCTGTATATGTCACATCATTGTCTGAAACTGATTTTGCTGAGAATTCTTTAGACATTATTTTGTGTATTTGTCAAGTTTATAAATGTTTAAAAATTTTTTTTACTTTAAATTTTACCAATCCATAAACCATATACACCAGAAAGGATTTCTATCGCCCATTAGACTGTCTTTCACAGATAATACTTTTGAATGTCAGTGCTTTACAGGGAGAAGTTAAGCCAGTACTACAGAAGTTAGGTCAAGATGAAGACATGGATGTCAAATACTTTGCACAGGAAGCTATAAGTGGTATGTATTTCCTTCTTTTGCCTTGCAGCGTATGCCTTGGTTAATGGGGATTTATCTCTATTATGTGAGAGGTGTTAAGTGGGTGGGATGATAAGTATTACGGGAAACAGGGAGGGTGGTAAGTTCCTGGAATGCTGGTGTCTCTCTGATTAGAACCCTCTTGGCCCACTGTTTTCTCTTAAGTGAGCAGGCTATTTTTCTTAGTTACATGTAGGACTGGGTAGGAAATATGATTTTCACTGGTAAGAACAGTTTTTCGTTTGGAATTTAACCAATTTTTAAAGTTTCACTTCTGATTAGCCTGGCCGAGTAAAGACAGTAACCACAGTGAGAAGTTGTTAGTTTGATACGTTTGGATCATTGTTATTGTGCTTTATATTCACATAGATCGTTCATGAACTTTCTGTACCACTAACCTGATTTTGTTTGGAATTTTCCAGTTCTTGCATTGGCATAATGAGGAGCAGGAGGGAAAAGACCTTTGCTAAATTCTTATCACAGATTTCTAGTCAATGTGTTCTTAACTGGGTGGAGAAAGAATGGAAAACCTTCAAGATGTCATCCAAGCAAATGGCAACAACTTAGAAGAAATCAAATTTTAGTGACTTGATTCTTTCTAAAGATGAAATGGGATTGTTTTTTACTTGTCTTCTTTGTTAAGTCATTATTTAAGCCATTCTTATTGACCAATTCCTGACACTTGATACTTGATTTTCTCCTAATGCTTTATCCATCACCACCGGGGCTCCTGCATCCTCACTGTGGAATCAGGCCCCAGCCACATAGTGTTCCAGACAAAGCCTGAAAGGGTGTGGACCCAGGCGTGGAGTGGAGTGATTCTCTTGACGTTTACATATATCTCTGTGTCTCTCCATCATTCCAAAGTTAAATGTACATGTTTAGAATAACTTATTTTATAAACTCTTTGGGAGGCATGTTGAGATTTGACCGTAGTGAAAGCCACATTTTCCTGAATTATGATGGTCTGCATCAGTCTCACATGAAAGGGGAATGTGGAAGCTCAGGGTTAATGTAGTGGTTATTTTGGTTTTTATTTGCTCAATTTTGTCTGTAGTCATGTCATTCAGAAACCTGAAGTGTGGCTGCATCTTGCTGCTAATGTGTGATGTTGACACCTAACTGAATTTGAACAGTTCACCACTGTGCCTACATTTAAAAATATTTCTCTCTCTTTTCTGAAAAGCTTTATCTGTAGTGCCTCGTAATAAGCAATATGTCTGTTTCATTGTAAGATTGCAGTTGTGTATTTTGAATGAGTCTGAGAACCACAGGGTTCTCAGATTTCCTGCTCTTTACCTGGCTCTGCTTCCAGCAGTATTAACACCTGGTCCTTGCTGCATTGTGCAGTAGCTTTTCAAACTGCAGTTTTACTCCTAAGTTTTTAGTATAGGTGATGCTGGAGTCTTATTTGAAGTGTTTGCTTTTCTACTTTTACAGTAAAACCTCATTAATTCTGAAATTTAAGATAATGAGTTAAGCTGAAGAGTTTAGTAAGAAGCAAATTAATAGTAAGGAAGCCTATTTGAACTACTAAACAGTTTTAAAGCCCTTTTTAAAAAGCACCCATTTGGGATCATTTGAGGTCACGAGTTTGAGATCAGCCTGACCAACATGGTGAAACCCCGTCTCTAACTAAAAATACAAAAAAGTTAGCTGGGCGTGGTGGCACACACCTGTAGTCCCAGCTACTCAGGAGGCTGAGGCAGGAGAATTGCTTGAACCTGGGAGGCAGAGGTTGCAGTGAGGGAAGATCGCACCCCTGCACTCTAGCCTGGGCCATAGAGCGAGACTCCGTGTCAAAAACAAAACAAAACAAAACAAAAAAACAATTTTTCACATAATCACACTCACCTTGTCTCATGACTTTTAGTTAAGGGGGTTTTCCCATAGTTTATTTTTCTCTCAGTGCATCTTGCTATGCGGTTTGCTTGTTACCCTTTTGGTTTTTGAATTGTTGATTTTGTTCACAACCTCTTTTAAATCTAGCAAGTCCTGTTCTGTTTAGTGAAGGCCCAAAGACTCCTCTAAGACTTTGTGCATTTGTTACATAAAGCCAAGTTTTACGGAATACTTTCAAATTTGTCCTACATGTGAAAAACAGAACAGAAATTGTGAATCAGAGGTTATCTGTCTGCATTTTAAACTGCCAAATTACCTTACAATAAGTTTCTGTTTTATGACTTTGGGCCAAGAATTAAGTATTTTCCTAAGCAAAAATCTTTTTCTGTATTCTCATTTTATTGTCTTATGCTATTATTCTATAAACATTTTAATTTTAGTTTCATGGGCCTTTATTTTTTATTACCTGCAAGTTCTTCTTCCTTGAATTTCAGACTTGAGAGACATTTGTCTTCATGACGCAGATTTGCATTGGACCCTTGCTTTACTCTAGCTGGAAATACCATTGTTCTGGGGACAGACTTTCAAAATGCCCTTGTGTCTCCCCCTGAGGAGCCCTAAGCATTGACTTCTCCACCCTAAAACTGAGAGGGAGAGTGGGCCCTGCTTTCTCAAGCATGGGTCAGGGGGTTCAGCGGGGCCTCTGTCTTTTGTGGTGACCCCTCAGGGGTTTCATTGTTTTCTTCTGAATGAAGCAAAAGATAATTTGCTTTGGCACTCTTTGGAGGAATTGTGCTTTGGCTCATAACTTGGCCATGTTCTCCATGAATTAGTTCTCCTATTTTTTTTTTTAACTACCTTAAACTTAAGGGACAATTTGTGCTATCTTGATTTCACTGGAATATAGGCTTTAGGAGCTCTGTAAGGCTGGTATTTTTGTCTGTTTTATCTTCTGTATTGCCAGTGCCTGGAACAGTATCTGGTGCACATAATAGGTGCTCAATAAAAATGTGTTCAGTGGATGAATTTCTAAAATATCCTCTGATGTGTTGTGTACATGGAACAAATCACCAAAAGAACCAGACTGTGTCTTATTCTCCCATTGACACAAAGATTTTCCTGCTTTCAGGAAACAAGCTTTATGTGGCCCTTCTCTGGTCCCCTGGCTTAGACTACAGTTCTGTGTGGATTTGTCTGGTTGCTTCAAACATGTATTGGTTTTCATCCTTGGCAGCGTACATCAGTTGTTTGATTAGAAAAATGAAGCAGACACACACACATACACACACAAACATATTACCTGTGCCGTACAAATGTCTCAGCAGCAATGGAGTTCACCTTGGTGTTTCTCTACAATTTGTGTGGGGTTTACTCCTCACAGGTTTAAGAGACCAGGTCTTGTTTCTTTCTCTGTGCTGCCAAGAAGATGTGAACCTGAGGATGCATCTTGTTGCATAAGAAGGAAAACAGGTGAATATGTGGTTTCTAATGAGGTCTTGTTGAAATAACGGGCTGCCCTCAGCTCACAGAAATACCACAGCTCGGCCACTGTGATGCAGAGCCCCAGGGGTCTTTGCCCGACTGCTTGTCCTGACTCAATAGTCGGCAGCCTGACCTTTGAGCTGGCTTGCCCAAGCGTTCAGGTTGTTTGCGTAGACCTCTAGGGAAGCAAGCCTGTCCTTCCTGGCCCGGCGGTTAACCTGGTGCACTTTTGTTCCTTTGTTAACCGTTGTGTTGTCACTAAACTGAAAGGCTGGGGCTTGCCCTTAGACGTCACATTGGCTCTGTCCCTGTGGCGACGGCAGGGCAGGGTGGCCAGACAGGTCAGGTGCTTGTCCTGTCCTCTTGCCTTTTACTTAAATTCTTCTGACTTAAAAATGGTGACACTCTTATCGTAAAGCTTCCTTTTTCTCCACTGCTTGGATATGAAACTAGAGGGAGAGGCCCTGTTGCCCAGTGTTCTCCTGGTTTACCAGCTGAGGTGATTGCAGTCTGATGTGATGTAATTGTTTCCCTTTGATTCTCCGGTATTCCTGTTTCCATCCAGTTCCTTACTCCCCTCTTTCCTCTTCCCTCGCACGTCTCCCTCCAGTCCTCTGTACCTAGAATAGTCTCACTGTCCCCTGTTTGCCTCCACGAGCCTGCTGTTTCCAGGAAATTACATAACGTTCAGTTGGGATGGAAATCTTCTGGAGGACGAATAGAGTTTAATTCCTCATTGCGTCGAAAAGCCAAGTCATTTCTGTCTCCAGAGTTGTTCTCTTAAACTGATAGGAGTTCTGAAAGGAGCCAGGTCTTCCCTGTGGTTGGGGCTCTGGAGGCCATCAGTGACCAAGATGTAGGGAACAGCCAGGTGGACACCAAAAGGCCCGATGGGGCAGCGCTTTCCAGGGCCCCGAGGGAAAGGCACCTCAGCACGACCCTGGACTGCTCCAGCCTTCTCTGCCCAGTGCCCCATGGGCAGAGACTGTCGGCTGCTGCTGGACTTCCCAGCTCTGCTGGCACAACTGAGGGCATCCTGGCTGGGAAGCGCAGGTGGGCTTGGGAGGGATGTGCCCTGGTCAGGGATAGTTACAGCGCCACTGTCTGTGTCTCTAGTGGTGGCACAAAGGCTGAGGAAGCTAGATTTTCCTGTGAAGGACAGTGGAGAACCCAGTGTCCCTCGGGCTGACAAGAACCATTTCCCAAGACCCAGAGTGCCTGGAGAGGACACGGGGAAGGTAAGTGCCCTGGAAGCCTGGGGCCAAGTCCTGCCCTCAGGGCTGCGGGCAGCCAGGGTGGCCTGGTCTGCGGGGAGCTGCCGCAGGGTAGGCTGAGAAGCAGCTCCTCTCACTTTGTCCCCAGGGGAAGAGTCCAATATTAAGGGCCGGGAGTAGATTTTTAAAGCCTGTTGCCAGCTTACTTCGTTCTGGGAGTGCTTTCTGAGGGACGGGTTGCCGGTCAGAGCTGTCACTATTGTAGCTTGAGGCCTATCTCCCATCACCTCCCCGTCCGACAGCGAAGCCCATATAGAGGACACTGGTGGGATTTGGTGAAGAATTGCTTGTAAAAAGGGGCTGTTCCCATTTTCCTCACGTAATACAGAAGTGACTTGCCACAATTCCTCAGTTATTTCCATTCAAGATAAAAATAGTTGCAAGTTTCTCTGTAACAGCTCATGTTCTACAAGCCCCACTGGACGCCACTCTGTGTGGAAATGGTGTGAAAAGCCGCATTTCAGCAGTCGTTGCCAGCCACTGCCCCAGGGCCATTCATTAGGAGGGCGATTTGTGACTTACAGATACATTCAGAAAAGGAGAGCAGCAGGGCTTGGCTGCCTCGTGCTGATGCCAGACTGCGTTTAGTTCATGGGGAAAAATCTGACATTCTCACACCCACTCTAGTGGGTTCGCTTGGTGAAAATTCTATGAAGTAACATCAAAAAGGCTGCCTTTTAAGTCACATGGCTTTTCATTTTATGTGAACCGAAACCATGAAAACGTTTTTTCCTGTTGTTGAGGTCCAGAATCGCCTTCGCTCATCTTAGAACGTTCTTGCCTTCCTGAGCGGCTGCACACTTGTCCGTGGGCAGCACCGGTCGTTCCTGCAGTGGCCACACAGTGGGAGGAAGGGCTGGGCGACGACTGTCTGGATGGATTCCCGAGTGGCCAGTCCTTGGAGTCCATGTTCTGTTCACAGAACTGGGCCGCAGGAAGGAGAACTTGGCTGAAGGAGTGGGGGGGTGACAGTTACACATTTTTTAGGCCTAAACCACAGACTTCTTTGGGAAGAAAGGGGTTACATCTTCCTACAAATTCAGAGCCAACTGCTCATGCCATAAATGCGTGGTAAGACCCGATCTGAGCGTGGGTCATTGAGGTGGCCCTCCCATGGCTGACCTGCTCAGCTCTGACGGCCCGAGCTGTGCCTCTGCTAGCTGAGGAGTTACTGAGAATTAACTGTCGTTACTTGAGCCTTGGTCACTGTAGCCCCTTGTCAGGCACTTTAAATCTCATGTCATCCTCACCCACCCTAGGTGGTTAAGTGCTGTCATCATTTTTCAGTCCCTCATGAATCTCCCCCAACCCCTGTCATGTCTATTTGAGAATCTTTCTTTCCAGGAAAGGAGGCCCATTGGTGCTAGGCCTCTGAGGCTTCAGTTCATTTAACTCAGAAAAATCCCCCGCCCCATGACTCAGGGAGCCTTCCATGCATTTGTTTCACTTAAGGAAAATGACCCGAGGGGGAGATGGAGAGGGAATTGGCTGTTGCCAGGCAGAACCCTGTGTGTCAGGGGCCAGCAGCCAAGTGAGTGATCCAGGAAGTCATCCAATTGCAACCAGAAATTGTTCTTAACCCCTCACTGTCTAGGGTGTGTAGTGGACTTGCCAGTCTGTCCGAACGGGGTGAGAGTGAGCGCCTTGCTGTTGAGAGCCCCGGGAACCATCCGTTCTCAGCCACCCTCAGGGCTCTCAGGGAGCCATTGGACATTCCAGGGGCTGGGCCCATCACTTGAAGAGAGAATGGAAGGGGCGAGAGCCAGTCTCCCTTGGTGAAGGGTGCCTCCTTGGCGCCCTTGAAGTCTGTGGAGGTGCCTGTGTGTTGGATGTCACGTGTGTCCCCCAGGCAGGATCTGCCAGGGAGCAGCGTGGGTCACCTCCCACACCGTGCTGCCCGGGGTCCGCGCGGCGGCTTGCTCCCGGACAGGACGCAGGGGGCTCCCCGATGAAGCTGCTGGCAGGCCTTGTCAGGCGAGGGTTAACAGGGGATTTGTTTATTGAATCACGAAGTAGCTGTCACATGATTTTAATCAAAACACCATTTCCCTGACAACAGTGATGTCAGTCTTGTTATTGCAGGAAGGAGCAGCTGTGAGGGACATTCAGTCTCCATGCCGAGTCCAGGTTTGGAGACTAAAATCAAGTGAAGCATCCATAAATAATGGCTACAGACATTGCCTGACTGCGTCCACCCTCCTCTTCCTTTTCTCTGCAGTCAGTCTGTCCTGTACACACACTGACCTGAGGCCAGCGCCTGTGCCGCGTCTCAGCTAACACCATCTTCGGCCTTCCATGCCCCTTCTACTCTTGTTTCTGGTTTTTCCTGCCTGCCTTATTTTCCCCAAACTCAGAGAGTCCCTTGGGCCCTGAGGGTCTCTGACTTGGGCCTTTTGACCTGTGTCTCTTCTCTGGATCGAATTAGCTCCTGCTGGTGAAGCAGGCTGTTCTGGGCCTGAGGCTGGAGCCATTCTGCAGCTCAGGAACCTTGCTTGTCCTAGAGCCAGCCTCTAGCATCGGGGGAGGCTGCGTGTCCCTGTCCCTCCCAGAGAGTTAGGCTGGCAGGGCCTTCGCGCTGCCCTGGGGGTCTCAAGGGCAGCTCTGAGGAGCTCCGCTGGGGGTGCCCGAAGAGGAGGAGCTCCTTAAGGGCCAACCTCTTGGCCAGCAGATTGGTTCTCCTGAACCCAGAAAGACTACAGGAGGTGTGAGTCCAGTCAAACTGAGGACTGATGACAAAGCCCAAAGCCCAGGGATGCTGGATCCCATCCCCAGTGGCCTCCAGCTAAGGGAGTTGGACCTTGAAGTCCATGGGGAAGTCAGACACAGGCCGGTGACAGGGCCCACGGGAGCAGGTCCTTAGGCTGACCTCCTGTCAGTGCCCTCTCCACTGTGGGGCCTGGGGACTGAGCCATCTGCACAAAAAGACCCCAGGCCTTCCAAGTCTCCACACTGGAGGTTGACCTGAAAGTTGGAGATAAAAAAGTCCTACCTGTGACAGAGATTCTCAGGGATGTTCTTATGTTTGTGGTACCCATAGCTGATGCCGCCTAGAACTCATTTCCCAAAATTCAGAAATTCTGGGGCAGAGTTCCCAGTTCTTAGCCTGGAGCAGATGCTCAGAACAGCGCAACCATACTTAAGTCGGTGAAGACAGAGCTCACAGGCAAGAAACAGCCATTTTCTGTACCTAGTGTTGGGGCAGGCAAGAGTTAAAGACAAGCAGAGTGGAACTCTGTGACAGCCCTCCAGGGGAGTGGGGTCTGCCGGGCAGTGCCATGCCAGGCTGCCTTTGCCCCTCGCAGTAAACCCAGGGGTGAAGCCAGCCAGCCTGTGCTCGAAGTTACCACTGGAGACACCAGCCTTTACAATGATTTGCCTGGGTTAGTGGCAGGGCTGAGAGGGCGCCAGGGGCTGAGGCCTCTGTCAGAGGTTCTTTGCTGCCTCCCGGACTGTCCCTGCCTGGAGGGTGGCCAGGTGACGGCTCCCGGGCTGGGTGGGAGCTGGGCCCTGCTCTCCCAGGCTTGCTCCGTGCCC